CATCCTTTGCACACATACATAGAAACACACAATGCAAACCCTTACACACACATGCAAACACACACACTGCTTCTCTTACATATATACAGAAACACAATGCATTTCATACACACACTCAATGCACACACTACTGACACACACCTTGCATCCCTTATGCATACAAACACAGATTCACACAGTACATCGCTTATACACAAAAACACACTGCCTCCACTACAAATACACTGCATCACCTACACAAACTGGTATCCCTATACACTACATACCATAAGCACACACATTAGATCTACATCTACAATAACACATAACACATCCCCTACACACTCCACTCCCTGTGAGCGAACTCATGGGTGGAACATGTAGGTGGACTTTTAGGTGGGCCTTATGGGCATACTCACCGTCAGGCCCTGGGACCCAGACCTTGAGCTGTTTAAGGGGCCCCCAAAAAATGGAGCTGCTTCCCATTCTACTAGAACTTTGAATTTTGTGACCACAGTTACAAACAGCCTTCAGAGATCCTCTTCTACACCAGACCAGTGGAGCCAAACCGCAGCCCATCATCATCCTCATCTGGTTGTAAGTAGGCAATCTAGTATATTATTAGTGACACTAATCTATAGGGACACTATAGCTTAATGAAGTGGTTCTGGTGTCTATAGCCGGTCCCTGCAGGCTTTTTAATGTAAACACACACTGTGTCTACACTGTGTCTACTGGTGACCCACAAGAGGGGATTGCACTGCACTCTCCTCCTGCCCAGACCTGTCTTTACCGCAGTGCAAGTGCCCTCTGCCCCTAATTTACAATGGCTCACTCACAGCAAGCAGTGCCTGGAGCCCTTTGCAGCGATGGGAACAAAGAGGTTCTGCGGCAGGTGGCCGTCCTGCAAGCATTACATTAAACAGCTGTGCCCCATGCAGCCACAGGTGGCGCTGTGCTGGGAGAATGTGATTACTCTTCACTTCCTCCCAGCCTACAGCGCAGCGCATGGGAGAGGGAGAGGAGGAGGCATGATTTAATCTTACAACAAATCCATTCAGCAAATCTTTGGGGGGATCAGCTCTGTTTGCACAGTTTATTGGTGTTTACTCTGATGTCTGTATTAATATTGAGGGATTTCTAAGTAGTAACATCAGTATGTGTCAGCAGGGCCAGCCGTTGGGGTGTGCAAGCTGTGCGGTCACGCAGGGTGCCATGACAACAGAGGCGCCCAACACAGCTCACAAGTTGGGGACCCCAGCATATTCAATTTAAATGATTCGCTGGTGGTCCACTGGTGCGCACCAGCAGTAGGTGCAGTCAGATTATATCCTCTCTCTCATGGTTCTGGCGCTCAGTTAGTGAGTCAGAACACAGGCTCAGAGATTCTCAGCCTGCGCTCTGACAACATTGAAAGTCAGAGCCGTGAAGGAGCGGGTATGGCAAAGAGCTACTGATTAGCATAACATCAATATCATTTATAAAACCAGGTGGGCATGGATGGTGAACTGATTTGGTGGTGCAATGGGCCACTTGACTGGTTTTGCCCCCCAGGCCTAAGGCTGCCAGCCCTCCCCTGTCTACACATCATCAAATGCTTACCTTGGGGGGAGCAAAGGGCAGGAAATATACAAGGAGGGCTGTGGCTTACATTGCTGGTCACATTTATCTCATTATCAATTAATCCAAAATGGCTCCAATCAAGTCAGCTCACAATGAAAGGACACTACAGACCCCTAAAGCACTCCAGTTTTACGTGTGAGGAGTGTTTCCTCTTATTTTCATTTTACAAAAATTGCAGATTTCAATAGAAATTGGCACTTTTATAAATTAACCATGCTACACCCTCTGGACTGTCCATTAGACAACAGGTCATGTTACTTCCTGGTAGTTTAGCTAAACCCAAGAGGCAGCAATTGCCCAGAGCTCCTGCCTTGCAAATATACTTCTCCTTGAGCTGCATTGGGAAGTCTGTGATTGGACAGCCACAGAAAGTCTGGGCGGGTTTAGAAGAGGAGGGCTAGCAAAGGCTGCAGACAAGAGACCTGTAGTTTTTAGATATAGCCCCATCAATAAAAATGCATATTTAAATGTATTTATGTTTTCATTGGGTATATCTTCTAAAAAGTGATTAATTCCTTGAGCTTCCTCTAAGTTCCATTAACGTGTTATACATGTTGAGTGGAGAGGGCCATGCAGAAATTAATGTTTGCATGCTGACATTTTTTGTTTCTGTGAGTACCCCTGGTGAGAATCCTTGGGTTTTTGTCCAAGACTTACCACCCTTTGTGTCTTGTTTGCTCAAACGAGACTTTAGTGAATGCACACCCATCTGTAGATTTCCATCTTCTAAATCATTTAATACACTTTGACCAAACAGCAAGCAACTAAATTATTTTCAGCTAAGTTTCTATCACTGAAAATAGGAAAAAAATACAATGAAAACCCAATGAGTCGAGTTTCAAAGAATCCAAGTTATTTAACCTGAAAGTGGCGAGAAACTAGTGCACTCGACTCGATGACACTCGTGTGGAATTTAAAATCACCTCATGAATAATTGTTACATTGAAAAACTTTCTTCTAAAAAATAACAAATACAGAAATGCTCTCCAGCCATTTGGGAAAATTAGATTTTAGCCTAGTCATCCTACTCACCCTTCAAGTACCAGGTCCCTGGCACTTAATGAGTTGTCACTTAATAAATGTTTGTATAACCTGATGCCATCTACAGCTCCTTTCATAGGTTTCTCAGAGTCCCATCAAAGAAAAACCTTATATAATTCTAATAAATAACATCAATGTGTTTCTAGCCTCCCAGCATGGAAGAGTTATGTGCTGTTACTAGGAGAGAGGATTGGAACAGACATGGCTCACAGACCACATGGAAGGTACAGGTGGTGGTGGTGGGACATCTTCCACTAATGTTCCCTCTTTGGAAGGTTTGCTGTCCATGCCAGGAATAAGACTTTAAAAATGACATTATAAAATACCAACTAAAAAAAGAAAACAGGAATTTTAACTTTCACATTAGCAGAAGACAAATGTGTTTTAACATTTGCCTACTCAAAAAGGACCTTCAGGAAAGAAAGGAAAAATGCAAAAACGTCTAGCACTTATCAGTCACCTGCTTTCTATTTCTCCATGTGAATGAGGTGCAACACGCAGCTCTATTACAAAACCGATATTTTATACACTACCGTGAAAAACTGGGAATGGGCAAGTGTGATATCATAGATGCATGTCATGTAAACTCACAAATGTTCCTCACAGAAAGTTATTGGAGTCCAGGGATTGGCTGAGAACTCAGCCGACTCCTGGTATGCTGTGAAGGTGCTAGCTATACATTCTTTGAATTATTATCAGTATGCATTGAATTGTGTAAGACAATCCTGTTCTGTAGAACAGGAAGAACTCATTTTCTAACTTGTAAACAAAAATACTTCTTTTTTATTTTCAATAAAGATTGTATTTCTCTTTGTTTTAAGCCCTGTGTAAGCCCTCGTTGAGCAACCAGCTTTAGTTTTAATTACCGTTGCACGTGGCATTCACAGTAGAACTTGTAAAGAAGTTAAGATAGAATCATTTAGCTGTTCTATAAAACCATTATTTTTATTTATCTCTTTAAAAAGTACATTATCACTGTCATACTTAATTGAAGAAAGGTTTTCACTGAATTAAACTATGTAGCTCAAGATGAAAAGAAAAAGGTCTTCCTCCATAAGGAGGAAAATAAATATACTCTCAAACTACATAAATCTATGAAGTCTAATTGTGTGGGCTATTTCTTGCAAAACGTCTATAGAAAACTCACTAATGTTGCAGTATCAATGTAAACCAGTAGAGGTCGCACTCTCCTCTCTTAGCTAACTACATCACGATTGCTTTTATATATTGTAGCATAGCATCAATGTGTCACCAATAGGGGGCCTCCACCAGCATCCGTATCCATTCAAGATTTGAAAGATTCGAGTCATAGAAAGAGATGCAACAAAGGGAGGGTAGAGGGAAGAGACCCAGCACAGCTGTTCCCCAGTTTACCCTGAATATGTAATATCAATCATGATACTATTAGTAATGGAGTTATATTAATTAGTACTGGATAATATGAATATGCAGTCCTGGAGTCATTCCAGGCAGTCCCCCTGCTGACAATGCTGTGGACGGCTATGCCATCCATGTAATCGTGAGGTCCTCACAAGGACCTCGCGATCACATTGCCTAGGAGGGCCTGATCGGAAGCAGGGGGACTCCCTGGGATGCCAGGTGAGGCCCCCCATCGCAACCGCCGGCGTGGTATCGCCAGCGACCGGGTTAATACATAGGACGGCGGGGACGTTTAGGCGTTTAGGACCGGGTCCCCAAGGACAGCATAGAATGCCCGCCGTCCTAAGGGGGTTAAACACAAGGCTGAAAAGATGAAGAGTGCGTCGGGATTCCAGCAACAGCCAGTTTAGCTCTTTCAACACGTCACAATGGTGGGTTACGTAATTACTTTGTAGCACAAATCAGCAGAATAAGGTATACAAGATCGTAAGTTTATGAAGGTGGGTTTGCAGTGCACCCACACTACATCCTACATAATCAATGACCGGCATTAGCATTTGTTGCACAATCGGTTTCCTTACTCTAGGTCTAGGGCTTAGGCAGGATATTTTCTGTACAGGAACCTTAGTTTTAGGTAAAGTTTCGATGAATTTTCATTGTGAAGACCCAAGGATAGACCTAGATATCTATCGATATCGATATAAAGAAAGGACTGCGACCAGTGTGCCATTTGATTTTGTTCTGATGCATAGATGGGAATTTTGTAATTTATGTAATTCAGGCACTGTTTCAAAGATCATTGTGATAGTTTTGTCAGTGTTTATTATGATTGTCATGCTGAGATATAGTGGAGCAGGAATGGTGCTGGCTGGTTGGATTGTGGACGGTGATATTTAATTTTTGAGTTATGCGTTATTGGGAGATTGGCAGTTTTCACCACATGGTTTTGATACACAGAAAGTTTTTATAAGGCTTACCTCTTTTGGTTGACCTCGTTGCCGTTGTCTCGTTTGTGGAAGATCATGGTGTATCTGCCAATATCTGGAAAAGGTCGAACCACCTTCATGTTTTGTAATACAACTCTGCAATTAAACATGAACACCTCTATAATACCAAAATAAAACTCTTCCCTCAAGGAACGTAGCATATAAAAAAATGTCTAAAATGACATAATTTAATCAAGGGTCTTCCCAATTTGGGACTTGTGATCCACCATCCTCACATTTGCTGCTAGAAAGATCCCACCTTCTTGATTCATCATTTGGGTTTTTAAAATTATGTTTCTGCATCACAAATGTTAGCTGGCTTTATGGTCAAATATGTCAGAAAATCAGAATACCTAAAACTTGCTGCTAAAGATGGTTCTACAAGCTATGGAATCATAAGGATCACTTAGTTTTCAACACATGCATTCTCCATTTTGGCTTTATTGTTGATTAAAAAATCATGACACGGTGTAATGTCATGTGATATCGTTCTTCTGAGGTTTTATTTAATTAATTTTATGTAAAACCTTTTTTTTCCCTAGCTGTAGAGAGTTTTATTGAAGACCGTGAGTGCTGCCATTTCTACTACTATCTGGATAACCAAAGTCCCAGGCTGAGCACCTGGCAAGTATACATTAATATAGACTGAGTGCAAGGATCTTTTCTAGTACCAATACATATATATACACACACACACACACACACATACACTGCTCAAAAAAATAAAGAGAACACTTAAACAACACAATGTAACTCCAAGTCAATCACACTTCTGTGAAATCAAACTGTCCACTTAGGAAGCAACACTGAGTGACAATCAATTTCACATGCTGTTGTGCAAATGGGATAGACAACAGGTGGAAATTATAGGCAATTAGCAAGACACCCCCAATAAAGGAGTGGTTCTGCAGTTGGTGACCACAGACCACTTCTCAGTTCCTATGCTTCCTGGCTGATGTTTTGGTCACTTTTGAATGGTGGCAGTGCTTTCACTCTAGTGGTAGCATGGGACGGAGTCTACAACCCACACAAGTAGCTCAGGTAGTGCAGCTCATCCAGGATGGCACATCAATGCGAGCAGTGGCAAGAAGGTCCAGAGCATGGAGGCGCTACCAGGAGACACGCCAGTACATCAGGAGACGTGGAGGAGGCCGGAGGAGGGCAACAACCCAGCAGCAGGACCGCTACCTCCGCCTTTGTGCAAGGAGGAACAGGAGGAGCACTGCCAGAGCCCTGCAAAATGACCTCCAGCAGGCCACAAATGTGCATGTGTCTGCTCTGTAAGAAACAAACTCCATGAGGGTGGTATGAGGGCCAGACGTCCACAGGTGGGGGTTGTGCTTACAGCCCAACACCGTGCAGGACGTTTGGCATTTGCCAGAGAACATCAAGATTGGCAAATTCGCCACTGGCGCCCTGTGCTCTTCACAGATAAAAGCAGGTTCACACTGAGCAGATGTGACAGACGTGACAGAGTCTGGAGACGCTATGGAGAACGTTCTGCTGCCTGCAACATCCTCCAGCATGACCGGTTTAGCAGTGGGTCAGTAATGGTGTGGGTGGCATTTCTTTGGGGGGCCGCACAGCCGTCCATGTGCTCGCCAGAGGTAGCCTGACTGCCTTTAGGTACTGAGATGAGATCCTCAGACCCCTTGTGAGACCATATGCTGGTGCGGTTGGCCCTGGGTTCCTCCTAATGCAAGACAATGTTAGACTTCATGTGGCGAAGGCATTGATGCTTTGGACTGGCCCGCCCGTTCCCCAGACCTGAATCCAATTCAGCACATCTGGGACATCATGTCTCGCTCCATCCACCAATGTCACGTTGCACCACAGACTGTCCAGGAGTTGGCAGATGCTTTAGTCCAGGTCTGGGAGGAGTTCCCTCAGGAGACCATCTGCCACCTCATCAGGAGAATGCACAGGCGTTGTAGGAAGGTCATACAGGCACGTGGAGGCCACACACACTACTGAGCCTTATTTTGACTTGTTTTAAGGACATTACATCAAAGTTGGATCAGCCTGTAGTGTGTTTCTCCACTTTAATTTTGAGTGTGACTCCAAATCCAGACCTCCATGGGTTGAAAAATTTAAATTTCCATTTTTTAATTTTTGTGTGATTTTTTTGTCAGCACAGGGGCGTACCTAGAGCATTTGGCACCCGGGGCGGATCCTGTGCTTGGCATCCCCCCCTCCCCACCCCCCAAAAAAAAGAAAACTTGTTAAAGGTTTTCTTTCTTTTTTTTTTTTTTACAAGTAAAGTTTGCCGCCCCCCCCATGTTACATCACAATGCCCCACCCATATGATTTGCCATGTTAACTAACGCCAGTGCTGCAGTGCCGCCGTGTTTACATTAAAAGGCCTGCAGGGACAGGCTATAGACACCAGAACCACTACATTAAGCTGAAGTGGTTCTGGGACTATAGTGTTTCTTTAATGTGAGGTAAATTAGAGCTTAGTGCCATGAATAATATACTAGATTGCCTACTTACAACCAGATGAGGATGATGATGGTCTCTAGCTGCAGTCTGGCTCCACTGGTCTGGTGTAGAACAGGCTCTCTGGAAGCGGTTTGTAACTGTGGTCACAAAAATCAATGTTCTGGGAGAACGGAAAGCAGCTCCATTTTTTGGGGGTCCTTTACACAGCTCAAGGTCTGGGTCCCATGGTCCACCTTCATGTTCCACCAATGAGTTTGTTCACAGGGGGTGGAGTGTGTAAGGGATGTCCTGATATGTGTGTAAGGAATGCATTGTGTGAAATTGTGTGTGTATGTGTAAGGGCTGCAAGGTGTGTTTCTGTGTATGTAAGGGATGCATTGAATGTGTGTAAGGGGTGCATTGAGTGTGTGTAATGAATGCATTGTGTGTTTCTGTGTGTGTAAGGGATGCATTGTGTGTAACGGTTGCATTGCTTGTGTATGTGTGTCTGTGTGTGTAATGCATTGTGTGTTTTTCTGTGTGCCTGGGGTGCATTGTGTGTATG